CCACCATTGCTTAGCCCGGACACTGAGGTCCTCCTCCAGGTGTCTTCTGCTGGTTCTCTCACTGTGAGAAATGAAGTTACAGGAAACCAGGCAGAGGGCCTTCTTGATAGTAGCACCCTCCCTTCAGATGTCAAGGAGATAGAGAACTATACAACTTCCCCTTTATTGGGAAGTTTTTAATGTTTGGTGCTTTATTACGTTTTACATACAGTGGTACCTCGCAAGACGAATGCCTCGCAAGACAAAAAACTCGCTAGACGAAAGGTTTTTCCGTTTGCGAGTTGCCTTGCAAGACGAATTTCCCTATGGGCTTGCTTCGCAAGACGAAAACGTCTCGCGACTTTGTTTCCTTTGTCTAAATAATAATTCGCAAGACGAAAAATTCGCTAGACGACAAAACTTGCGGAACGAATTAATTTCGTCTTGCGGGGCACCACTGTATTCTGTAAACCGCCCAGAATGGCTGTGGAAACTAGACAGATGGGCAGGGTATAAATAATAAAATTGTTGTTGTTGTTGTTGTTGTTATACGTGCAAGTCCCACTTTCCAAACACAATGAATTCCTAGCAAATAATTCGCTAGGCAAGTGTTTGCATAGCGAGTTGATGATTTCCATTGTTTTCTATGTGAACATTTCCAATCCATTATTTGCGCCCATTCTCTTTGCAGCCAATCAGCAACAGCAAAACAAAGGAAATACTTATTTGGCAATTCTCTCCTGCTCCCCGATTTGTCTGTTATTTCTCCCTCCCTCCATGGTTTTTGCCTGAAATGGCTGGTACTGACCAGCAAAACAAAAACAACTAAGGCAGTGCAAACTGTTCAAATATCTGAATCAGCTGTTCATGTAGAGAGGTTAGGGTATAATTCCTTGTGTTCAGATAACAGATTTCAGGTAACAAGTGTTCCAATAGGGGGACCTGTGTGTACATAGGAGCATTCCATGCAGTTGTGCATATAGATGAAGAAATAGGTTAGACTCTTGTTAAGACTGCTCCTTTCACATCATAGGCCTAATCAAAGAAGTGAATGGAACGATGCTCATGCAATGGGACTTTTTCCTGGCTCCTCATCACCATAGTCTCCTGCTCCCCAAAAAAACCATTAGTGAGGGTCAAGGGATCTACTAAAATGGCACTGTGTGTTGAAGAAGCATGACAGGGAAGTTGGGAGAATTTGGTAGACTTCCTTTGCACAAATGCCTTTCAACTCACACAAGATACTTTTAGATCCAAGTCACAATAAACTGAATTCCTAAGGAAGTCTAATGTTCATTGGGGTGTATCCACAAAATGCAAGCACGCAAGTCCTTACTTAACATCCACTCACCTTAAGTAATGCTCAATGACCTTAACATGAGTCAACATTATGGAATACTTGGTGATGACTAAGAGGTGGCTCATCTCCTTAACGTGCTTTAAAAAAACTTGTCTTTGTACTGCCTTTCTAAAAACTCAAAACCAGAAATTGTGTAAATTTTTATAACTTTCCCTCCAGTTTTGTGTTTACCTTAATTACACCAAGCAGAAGAGTGGTGCAAATGACGACAACAACAACCCATATATTTACTATTACTATTCATTAAATTTGTATGCTGCCCTTCATCTGAAGATCACGGGGATGTTCACAACATAAAAATAAAAAATGAGAACACATATTTTTAAAATCTCTGTTTCCTTCCATGCAAAATGCAATGAAATGCTTAGTATCATTGTTGGAGTTCAAGGGGGCAACTATCTACCTTTTGCTAACTTCCTGACACTCTGTGATCCATTCCAACCTAAAAAAAGAAAATGCTGTGGCACTGTTCTTTTGTTTTGATCTGCCCTTCTCATGACTCAAGGGGAAAACATGTGTTTTCAGATAATCCTCACCCTTGAGGAGGCTTAAAACAGTTGGTTGTTGAGGTTTGAGAACTCACAAAGATTTATAAGCAGGAAACATCAAAATGTTTGGTATGCTGTATTTTAAAGCTCCAGGACACTCCTAATTGTGCCATGTTCTACAGCAATGGTTGTCATCAATCACATTTATTGCTTAGACCTGCTAGTCTACCCTTGGGCTACAACGTTCATGAAGACAATGCGATAAACTAAATATGCACATCTGTTCCCATCACCTCCCTTCCTTGCAGCACATTTCCCCTGAGAAAGCTGTAAATGGCTGCTAGTCATGATAACTATATATTAACTCTCCAGGATCAGAGGTATCATACCTCTGACTGCTAGTTGCTGGGGACCAAGAGTGGGAGAAGACCACTGCTTATGTTCTGCTGCTGGGCTTCTGAGAAGCATCTGATGTGATGATCAAAGATTCAGTGAGAACTCACTGCCTTTAGTATAGACAACACTAGAGATGTGCTACCTATACAAAGGTACCTCAGGTTAAGTACTTAATTCGAATTACAGAAGCCATCCCGGTTTCTGATTTGATCCCAGAATGTCCCAGTTTTCCTTTTTCCTCCCCTCCACATCTCAGAGAATACAGTGGTACCTCGGGTTAAGAACTTAATTCGTTCTGGAGGTCTGTTCTTAACCTGGAACCTGGAACTGTTCTTAACCTAAAGCACCACTTTAGCTAATGGGGCCTCCTGCTGCCGCTGCACTGCCGCTGCACGATTTCTGTTCTCATCCTGAAGCAAAGTAACCTGAAGCACTATTTCTGGGTTAGCGGAGACTGTAACCTGAAGCATATGTAACCTCAGGTACCACTGTATGAGTTATTTGCTCACAGATGTAACAGATGCATTATCACCTTAGAATAATCTTGCTTCATACTCATGAAAAGTTATTTCAGTTACAAAAAGAGAGGATAACATCTTAGCTTATTTATCACTGATTTTTCAGTTGCGTTTCCCCACATACCGTACGAAAGTGTCCACATTTAAGCTTTAAATATATTTCGGCCCCCTCCAAGACCAGCTGTGTAGAGAACCAGTTTCTAAATAAATAAAGTGGATGCCACTCATGAAATCTTAATGTAAGACATACACAAAATATTTTTATATAACCAAACCGCAATAACGATTAAACAATTCAGCTCTTTTTATAACCAAGATTGGTCTTTCTGCTTTATCATTATATTAAACTGAAATTCAGTAACATTACATGGGACAATAACAATATATCTTTGAAACCTGTAACTGCATGGATATACCGTATTTTTCACCCTATAGGACACACTTTTTCCCCTCCAGAAATGAAGGGGAAATCTGTGTGCGTCCTATGGGGCGAACACAGGCTTTCGCTGAAGATTGGAGCGCACCGACCCCTCTCGCTCTCCAGGCTTCAGGAAGCTATCAGCAAGCCTGGGGAGCCCGTGGGAGTTCCCGCAGGGCTCCCTAGGCTGCGGATAGCAGCCTGCTGCCCGGAGCGCAGGGCATGCTGCAGCAGAGCGCCCCACGCTTTGGGCAGATATCCGCAGCCTGCTGCCCAGGGCGCGGGGCGCACTGAATCCGCGGCTGGGGGGGAATATTTTTTTTTCTTTATTCCCCCCCCAAAAAAACTAGGTGCATCCTATGGGCCGGTGCATCCTATAGGGCGAAAAATACGGTACATTATGTTGTTCAATTAGGGACGCGGGTGGCGCTGTGGGTTAAAGCCTCAGCGCCTAGGACTTGCTGATCGAAAGGTCGGCGGTTCGAATCCCCGTGGCGGGGTGCGCTCCCGTCGTTCGGTCCCAGCGCCTGCCAACCTAGCAGTTCGAAAGCACCTTCGGGTGCAAGTAGATAAATAGGGACCGCTTATCAGCGGGAAGGTAAACGGCGTTCCGTGTGCTGCTCTGGCTCACCAGATGCAGCTTGTCACGCTGGCCATGTGACCCGGAAGTGTCTCCGGACAGCGCTGGCTCCCGGCCTATAGAGTGAGATGAGCGCACAACCCTAGAGTCTGGCAAGACTGGCCCATACGGGCAGGGGTACCTTTACCTTTACCTATGTTGTTCAATTACTGAGTATGGATCAAAACAAAAAGTATGGTTGGTATCATATATACTAAGAGTATACTCCGCCTTCAAGTGTAGATTCTGATGTAACCAAAAGAGCACCATGTATACGCAAGAGGGAAGTGCTATCAGGTTCAGAGCAACCCCATTGTTTCCAGAAGTACAAAAACTATTTAGGGAAAATACCTAAATGGGGAAACTGAAAACAGCCCAATGAGGACTAAGCATGCTCAAAGGGCCACATAATGTTGACTAACTTGGGGGTGTGAGAAGTGGCAACAACCAGGGGAAATAGTATAGGGAGAGAATAGGCAGCTACTGCTGCAAAACTGTGCTTGAAAGGACAGGTCCTCCTATCCAAATGTTCATTATACGAAAATTCACTTATCCAAACATGAGGAATTAGTACCCAAACTTCACTATACACACTACAGATTCAGATCTCCAGATCTGCATGTAGTACTGTAAACAAATAAGCAGCCTTTAAAAAGCCTTCCTTTTTGCATTTTGCTGGTTCACGGCAACCATTTTGTCAGAAACCATGGGGCGGGGGAAGATAGGAAAAAATGCTCTCTTAATTGTCCATTCTTGTCTGTCTTTTGCAAGGTCTATAAGGACTGAACGGGTGGCTCTCTCACTTCTTTCTAAACCTAAGGACACACTTATTCTAATGTTATAAAGCAGAGAGCACAGCACAGAGCTTCAATAGAGCAGCTCTGTTTAAGTACTGCACCACAGCAACTTTTCAAGGATGCCTTCCCCCTATTCCTTTGCATCTTCCCTGAGGCTGAAAATACACCCTTACTCTTGAGTAAGGCTAAAATGCAAAGCAAGCTCCTTCTTCTCTTGCCTTTTCAGAGTTCCCAGTCTCTGAGGAGAAAATACAGATGAGGAGACAGTGGGTGATGTAGGAGCAAAAAGATTCTGGGGGAGGACACATGGCAGAGCACAAGCAGATATAGAAGGAGGCAAGCAAGCACTCTTAACAATTACAAGCAGTACTAGCTAAATATCAAACCAAAGTGAAGCTCTTTTTTTTAGATAAATCATTGCTTACCTTTTTCTGGTACCAGACTATAGCATCTGTTACTTTGGACGCCATTTATTCTATGACATTTATACAGTAGTCATTTTAGCTGTAAAGAGAAAGAGGCATAATTTTACATTCTTATTCTAAGGGAAATTTTAAATATATATATACACACACACATGCATACTATTCTAATTTAAAGCTGGGTGGCTAATCAAGTGACCAATCAAATACTGCTAACTGACCAGTTCAATTATTGCAAAATATTCAATGAAACAGAGATTGTCCTTATGCAAATGGCAGAGGGCTAATAGGAACAACAGGAGTACAGGTGTTTTGCTCCCAGCTCTGCAGGAGCCAGGGACGGTCTCTCTGCATCACACACATATGTACTCCTAGTTTAGAAACAGGCATTAGTTTTCATTCAACTCTTTCTGAAGGGTTAATGTCATCTTCCTTCCCAATTAGTTCGTGTGGCTTAACTCCTACTTACTGTTTGCTTAATTGCTGACATCTCTGAACAGGAAACACAGGATCCAGGAGGAAGAATGAAGTAAATGTATAAACTAAGTCAAGTCTACTTGGGTTGCCAAGATGGTCAGAATTTTATAGGATAGCAAACTAGAAATGCAAGCACTAAATTTCTCCAAGCATTCTGCCTGTTAATAAGCTAATTATGGAGGTGGTTGGTAGCTTTTGCAGGGAGCAATCAGCAAGATCAGAACTGTTCGTGCAAGGGAAATGGTACTGGGGCTAATTTCAAGGCGCTGGTTTTGAAGTATAAAGCCCTATACAGCTTGGGACCAGGCTACCTGAAAGATCATCTCACCCCTTACACACCTAATTGATCACTGCGCTCTGCAATTTAGAGACTCCAGCAGATACCATCTTATCAGGAGGTCTGCCCTGCACAATGTTGGAATCTGCCTTTAGTAGTAGTAGTAGTAGTAGTAGTAGTAATAATAATAATAATATTAATAATAATAATATTAATAATAATAATTTATTAATACCCTACTCATCTTGCTGGGCCTCCCCAGACATTAAAAACTTCCCTAAGTGTGGCACCTACCCTTTGGAATTCCCTCCCTTTGAATATTACGTAGATTGGTGACATCGCAGTTACCTTTTTGGCACCTGAAGACTTTGAAGAAGTCTTTTAAGTTGAAGTCTTTCCCCAGTCTGCATCAATTGTAGACTTGTTCTAAATGTGTTTTTAACCTGTTTTATCACTTGTTGTTTGCCATTCATGGCTCATTTGGGATTCCATTGTATACTATTGAGACAGTAGGTCTTATGGCTCCCTCCATATCTTCTGGGAAAAGCAATTACTATTTGCATTGTGCTATATTTCCATAGTGCTAGTCAACTGATGACTACACAGCCTTGTGTCCTTGTTACTAAGACTGAGATTTTAACTTCTTCCTTTTAGTGAGCTGGTTTTATTATATTTTGTTCTTTTTTGTTTGTTATTCACCTTGGAATTTCTTTTTAAAATGAAGGGTGGTACATACTTTATTTTAGTAAAATTAATAAATAAGTGAATGTGCACATGTTGCTTGCTGATACTATCCACCAGGAGAGTAAGAAAACTGAGAGAAGCAGCGAGAGAGTGGAATGTTGTACTGTATGTATCTCAGAAGCAACATGACTTCTTACAGTGAATGTTTGCCTTGACAGAGGTAATTAGGCAATTTCAGTCTTAATTCTATATTGCAATCCTGTAGTGCAATTATGAATAAATAATTCTGAATGGATGTCACAGAGTTTATGACTTTTCATAGTTGAGTTGGACCCCCAGATTTAAGTTTTGCACAGATAAGGAACTGTATTCATAGCTAAAGATTAATTTGAAATTCCCTCTGAAGCAGCTCTCACTCCTTAAGAGACAAGATGAAAGTATTCATCTTAAGCTCAACCCTGTAAAATCCAGACACTAATGATTCTTTTTAACAGAGAGCAAAGTTGTTATCTGGAGAACATCTATGAGACGCACAAACAAGGACCTGAACCAGCATTCATTAGACACATTTGGCAATCAGCAATAGAAATTTTGAGCTTTCATCTACGCTCCTATCACATTGTCTTTACAGTGATTAATGAATCCATTTTTATCAAGGCAACACTTACCAAGGACAGCTAATGTGTTACACAGTGGAAAAGCAAATTCCCAAATAGGTTAATTCTTGAAGGGCTACCAAGGTGCCACTCATAATTGCTGCTCTTGTTCAGGTCAGGCCCATATTTTGAGTACCTGAAAACAAGAGCCCAGTGCACAGCGTGATCCTGCTCCATTGCTACAGACAAAGCACAGAAATTACAGTCACACCTATTATGTAGCCTGCACCTAGATCCAATTCTTAACTGTGTCATCAGTATTCAGTCAATGTACAACCCAATATCAGAATGTGGATTATATACAGAGAAGCAGTATACGGGCCAGAAATACTGTGCACAACTTACTCACAAAGCACAAGTGCAAACTGGTCTTAATTATATGTTCACTTCATATGTTCCTAGACTGGAAGTGAAGGCTGAATAAAGGGCTCAGGAAAATACTGGTTACCGATAATCCTGGTACTTACTTTTTTTAAAGGTACTTCCCACCCTTCTCTATAAAACAAACTCGCTGTTGAACCAAATCTAAAAAAGAAAAAACCCACAGCAGCATAATTGCAGAATCTCAAAATAATAAAGTAGCAAAACCAAGCAAATTAACAACCTGTAAGCAAACTCAGCTCCTACAGACAACCTCAGCAAGCACCAAAAGCCTTCCATATAAGCTAGGTTTTCACAGTGCTCACTGAAATATATCGTGTCAGGGCTAGGGAGGGGATGACATTCCACTGTATCAGCACCACGACTGAGTAAGTGTGAGCAGGACCTCAGATGAAATAGTTAAGTAATAGCTACATTACAGGTAAAACATGATTGCTGCCAGGGCGGGAGTCAGGGGCAGGTCAGCAATAACTCACAAGATGTCAGTGAAGTTAACTCTTTATTCAAAGAAACAAAAAGAGCTCAGGTCTTGTAAGCACAGCAACTCTTCCCAGGAGATCTTGCCCCAATGAGGCAGTTGCAAGGACTGAAGGTCCCTGCCTCCCCACCACTCTCTAAGATTCCTTCTCCCCCGGCTACTTCCCAAGCAATCTGAGACGTCTTTGCTTTGAACCTCTTTGGATTCTAGGAGACCAGTGGAGAGGGAAACTGTTCGCAGCAGGAGGGGGAGACTCCCTGGCTTCTTCAGTAGCCTGCCTGATCTCTGCCTCTTGGCTGCCCTCCTCTCCAGCCTCCTACTCCCAGTCTGCTCCCTCTTCTGCCTCTGATCACTCATTGTTGTCCCACCACCAATTTCCTGGCTCAGGGTGTGTGTGTGTGTGTGTGTGTGTGTGTCCCTTCGGGGTTTCCCAGCTGGTGCCTTCCACCACTCCTCTGTATCCAGCCAGTCCCTGACAATTGCTAAGGCATTATAAACCTCACAACTAAGATTAAAACTATAAAGGAGCACGGTTGGTGGGACCCTGTATTCAGGCTGGAGCAACAGTGACACAGGAATCCTATTAAACATGTTTCATCCCACTGTGGTGATTCTGATATTCTGGATTGCTGCTGTCCTAGCAGTGCTAGTCCTGTTGAGTCAGCTCTGTGTAATGGAAGAACACCCAAGGGTCCAGTGCAAGTTAGTGCCAGTAAATATGTGACAGCCATCGTGTTTCACCAAGTTGTTAGGGGGGACGACTGTGAGGATGGCACATGACACCAGAATCTAGTTAATCTCAGTGGAATGGAGCCTGGTACAAGCCATGTACACCCTATGATAGATTCTCATCCCCCCCCCCGCCCGCTTGGCTCTTACCCTTTTGACTCCATTAAATGTTACCTAACATGAACACGCGGGACAGGAGTGGCGCTGCGGTCTAATCCACAGAGCCTAGGGCTTGTTGATCAGAAGGTCAGCGGTTCGAATCCCCGGGACGGGGTGAGCTCCCGTTGCTCAGTCCCTGCTCCTGCCAACCTAGCAGTTTGAAAGCACATCAAAGTGCAAGTAAATAAATAGGCGTTTCCGTTCGCTGCTCTGGTCTGCCAGAAGCAGCTGTCACGCTGGCCACATGACCCGGAAGCTGTACGCCGGCTCCCTCGGCCAGTAAAGCGAGATGAGCGCCGCAACCCCAGAGTCGTCCGCGACTGGACTTAACGGTCAGGGGTCCCTTTACCTTTAACATGACTTTAATTGCAATAGAACAACCAGCACTAACATTGGCAAACCTCAAAAGTGAGCCCCCTAACGTAGGCCTTAAATATTTTTATCTAGTCCTGTTGGCAGACTTCTTCCACTGGCTAGAAGTGAATTTCTCCCCATTGTACATTATTCAAGGCAAGGAGATCAAAGAACTGGTTATCTAAAAGGTGTTAGGCTGTCCCAAATGAGTCTTAATTTAGTCAGTGGAGACATTATTTTTATTGTACCTCCCATTCTTTTCCCAAACTAGTTAAATTGTTGTTAAATATTTGCAAAATGCCACATTTGCTAAAACCCTCCTACTCAGACTACCAAAAAAGTCACTTTATTTGCCTGATAACAATAGTTCTTAAAAATTACCACCAAGACAGTTTGTCAGTATGAGCAAAACAACCCAGTAAATCTTCACATGATTAGAAACTCCACAGTTGGTTCTTAACTTCAAGTAACTTCTGTAGCTCTGTGGTTTCCTGTTTCTGCATGTGAACTGCCTATATTCATGTTCATTTTATCCTATGTCTTTTACACTTCATTTCTTTCTGTAAGAGACACAAATAACTTTCTTGGGACCAGTTTTTCTGTTTGCAGTATATGTATAAACTCTACATAAAATACACATAACAGAAGATGCCATTTTGTGAAGCAACTCTTTACAGAGTAAGGCCATCTGAAGTTATGACCATCAAGTATGTGTTAAGTGAGACTTGCATGAAGCAAACATGTTTAGGAGTGGGCTGCAATCTTTAAAGTTAATGGGTTTTCACACAAGTGGATGTCTTTAGCATAAGGCTGGGTACAATGTCAAAGGCATGCAAAACCTTTAGATATCTTTAGACAGATGTGAAAGAAACCAGTGTAGAACTATT